GGCACTCAATTTGCTCGCATTGCAAGCTGTTATGATAATAGAGCAACACGCCCCTACCTCGCGTTGGATGATCACGCCTCAATAGCTCCATGCCCGGTAATTGCAGCTCGGAGTCCAAAATGTCAATCGTCAACCAGGTTTCGGTTACGGAAATGAGATCCCATCGACCGGTTCGATAACGTAGTTCCACTTCTGGAAACTTACTGAAAAAACCCTGAGCATTAGCATAGAAACAGTTTAGTCGTTGTCGGTGCAGAAATCCCTCGTTTGTTGTGTCCTAAAAGTAATGGTTTTCGTAATCGCAGCTAAAATCGTTTAAGTTTGAGAGCAGGTCAGTACGCAAGTTCAGAATTTATCTCCACTTATGACCCATAACCAGCATGAATGAAAGTAATCTGCAGAGGTCATCAACAATGGTTAATGAGTAATATCATGGTAAAAAGCAGGTGCACAATCAAGCACTGTTTAATAGAAAGATAATTATTCTGGAATTCTGTGGAACTTCCATTTTCATAGATCACTGATTTTGTAAAACATTTCCCGATTGGATTTTGGTTTCTCCAAGTAGACGTATGAAATTTTGCCTGATTAAACTGACTACAGTCGTCTATTTTTCTCGAATGAACCATAGTTGTGTAATCACAAAAGATCTTTCTATTTTCGCCAATCTATGCTGAACTGGAATCTCGCTTTTCCGGCATGTGACTTGAAAGTGAAATAATGTCTCACGTCGGTCCAGGTTGCTTTGGGTAACGAGAACACCCTAGTTGTCAACTTTGAATGAACCAGTATGATCACAACAACCTGCGGTCAACAACGAAAATGAGTCACTCATACTGGTTTTTCGGTCATTATCAGAAATTGGATATTTGTGAGCGTAAAACATGGTAAAATGAAGTTTGGACCATTCGATGTGATATGGGTGTGCGATCCTATAGGACCATCAGTCGTCCTTTATAAAGTTAACACTGAATGAAATGGTTGAATGCCAAAGTTCATCTACCATCTTGATATCACTCATATATTTCTGGTCTCTTCGGCACTAAAATGGTTTCGGGTGTATGCGTTGTCAATAATGCTGAATTAGAGTGATCAGAGTTATGACAAGCTAATCAGGTTGTCCATGTTTCAACGCTCAGACGCCAGGAGCGTCTTCAGACACAAACCATTAAGGTATCTTTGCCCGAAATTTATTAGGTCCTTAAATTCAAATAGAACCTGACCAGTAACATTCACAGAGCGAGAGGAATGAATGTAGACTTCGTCGATTGGTGTAACAATTGCAGTGGTAACTGGGATCACAGTTTCCAATTGTTTGTCTATTTCGTTCCGGTCGAAATTCTTTGTCACACATTCCAATTCTCATATGTATTTTCCACGCAGATCATTGACAAACGGGCGCACGATCCAACTGATGAGATTTCTATCCTGACCCGATTCAGTCATTTGAAAAATGTGGTCACGTTGGTCGCGGTGAGTTGCTCATTTTCCGTCCATTCAGGTACTTTGATTAGAACACCACAAATAGGAAGCTTTTCAATATATCGTTTCAAATGTTTGGTCGATTAGTTACGAGATAATTAAACGGTCTTATATGTTAGATGTGTGTGTGTGCTCGCACGTGCCGTGCATTGTCAGTCTGACATCAGACAACAGGATCCTAGGATATGCATAGGGAAATATTACACATGGGATAGAAATTTATCTGCGTTTCCCATTGGTCCATCCACGTCGATAGGAGTGTTTTTTTCTACCGTATCCCATAGTTCATTGGTTTCCATAACTCCTCTCGGGTTCCCCGAATTTTTTTTTATCAATCGCTAAACACACGTGATCTGTGGAACGATACAACGTACGATCGTGTTGAATGTGACGATCAGTCAAAAACAGTTCTATTCGTTCCTGACCCGAAACATGTTTCTAGTATGTCATTTCGCCGAAGGAAGGAGGCTGTGGTGTGCCACGGTTCAATATTTTTTACTTGATCGATCGATCAACATCAAGCTGTTTAATATAGCGCACGGATGATCAATAAACAAGTGGGTAGAATAAAACCGTGGGTTTNGGGTTTCTATTGTAACTAAGTGGTGGTAATATATCAACAGAACGTAATCTCATCTGATAACTGAGTGAAGGCGATACGCTTCTCCCGAAACTGCCTAAGGCTTATCAGTGTACGTAGCCGAGTATCTTTCTATAAAGAATACAAGATCGGGAAAGCAATTTCCATCCATCTCAGCACAATCTTGAGACATCAAACGCAGGGCCAGAAGACAATTACAACGTTTTCCCTGGCAAATCGGAACCGGATCATCATGTAACGTGTGTCCCCGGGTCTACACCCTGACAAAGAATGCTGTGATGTGTGTGTGGTATGCGTGTATTCATTTATATAGGTAACGGAAGCGGTAGAGTAGGAACGGAACATTTTTGCTTACTGAAGTCAAGGGTCAAACGCGTTTTCCCAATGACCTGATGACGATGGCGTTACAGGCTTGGATCGAGTAGGTCATGTTCACCGACATTTCATTTCTCACAGGTCTACGACTCGGATTCTTTTGTGTACATGGTGACCGAGTATTTGGGTGGTGGAGAGCTTTTGGATCGAGTGATGCGCAAGCGTGGTCTGTCGGAATTCGAAGCGAGTCGCGTGGTCGAAGTGATTGCTGGAACACTGGCTGAACTGCACAAAAATCGGGTAAGAACGCATGTGGCCCTCATTGGTGATGAATCGATTTACAGTCGGAAAACGTGTCCCATCCTGTTTAACATAATATTTGGCCTACATTCTAACTGCACCGTTTGATTCGCAGGGAAACTGATTGGAAGGGTCAAAGAATTCGGGTCTGTTTTTCATTTGTTCAAGGATAAAATTATTCAACCGATTCTGTTTTGACCCTCCGAAATCTCGCAGATGCTGTGTTTCAATGGCCACTGCAGAATCCTTTGAAAAGAATTCGCGCAGCTAATAGTGGCTTCCTCGAACACAAATCATGCAGGTTTACGCAGGTTAACTTAACTTTCCGGATTTTTGGTAATGATAATGTAGAATATTCTCCTTCGTAGTTATTGTTCTCTCATGTGATTTTCACTCAAAGTCATAACTTGTTCAACGAAAATAATACAATAGTCATAAATACGGTTTCTGAGTCAATCAAAGGTTCTCAAACTGGCTTTTTCGTAATCTCTGCCGTGTATTGTGAGACTTCGCATTGATGTTTTGCCGGATACTAGTGTTTAACTTCATTTCTATCTCAGGTAGAAAACGTTAAGTGAAATATCTCTTCGGTTTCCACTGATCCCCTTCACCATACTTGTGAGGTATGCAAATGAATATTCAAAAACTGATGATGATAATCTATTCTTCAACTTGAATAATAATAACAGTTGTCTCACGTTGATTGCCGGTAACCGGACCTGACTGAGAAGAAATCCTCCGTGGGCGTCTGCAATCAAACTGTAAGAACTCATTTTCATTAGAAAAACAATGTACGCCTGTCAGCTGTCCTAAACGTCTGTGTGCGGCCCAACGAAATCCAGGTTTATATTGGCTTGTGAAACATTTGTAAGCGTTCGTTATCCGTGGGAGGTGGGGGAGAACAACAATGACAAATGAAGATGAGACATGACAGGTGATTCACTTGTGATCTGAATGATCACCAAGCCGGTTAAATGGACCATTCAAAAGTTACTCCATGCTCCTCAGTGCTTCTGCTCCTCGTGGTATCAGGCACATGTGTGAGACGGTGTTGAGCATCTAATGTATGGAAGAGTCTACCAACGTAGTGGGGTGAGCTTTATCGCTTCAGGCATTGTCCTACACTAACCGAATGGAATCACGGTCGTACCTGAAAAGCAGGTAGTGTCAAGTTTGGTAGCACCTGCGCCTATGTTAGCGAGAGACTTGGAGAACATGCAACGGATGAAACCAGGAGATGGATGAATGGATTAATGATCAACAGGAACACGGGGTCTTGTGGCACTCACCTAGTTACTGGCATTCGAATGGGCCTTTCACAGAACGTTCCGCCGTCCTAATCCATGTAATCATGTAACCTTTGTCCAGAATGGTTTATCCAACAAGGAGCGAAATTAATGAGATTTAAGGGGAAAAACGTCCATTTCAGGAGCGTAAACAAACTTCTCCTGAAGCAAAAAATATAACTTTCAACTGTTAGCTTGCTGCCCTAACTGCGAAGCTAGCTTGACTGTTTTATATCCGTGTAAGTATTTAGAGTTGTTTCCTGCTCTCGTACCTGAATGTATGTTTCATCATTCTGAACTGCGTCCGTTGAGATGCAGCTATGTGAAGAATTCATCACTAGTGGTGTCATTTAGATGGCATTGTCGATTTCCGTTTTGAATCTTCAGGTCTCTTTAGAATTCTCCTTTTTCTACACCTATAGTATTGAACTTCTTCCCGGTCCCGGAACCCAGTTCTCTCTTGCTCTTGGTCCGTTTTTCCAGAGCGACAGAAATAAGCGCTTCTCTTTTTGTTCCCATCATTACTACTCCCTGTATCATATCGATCCATAGATCTGGATGAATTTCACATCGTGTGTGTAGTACGCAGTTAGACCGAGGTTTCACCGTTTCATTTGTGTTTTCTGTTATGTTTTGACTCCCAACCACGGAGGCATAGTTTATTACTCATGTGTTTTGATATCATCTGATCCGCATGCAAGAGGTGCTGCTTTATTCCATTGTGAATATGTTACCCGGAAAAAAATCATACTTTGATGTCCGAAATCTAATCAGACTGTTCAATCTCATAGGCCTGATTTACCATGTACCCGGCTAGCTCAGTCGGTAGAGCATGGGACTCTTATTCCCAGGGTCGTAGGTTTGAGCCCCACGTCGGGCGTGCCTCTGCTTTGGGGTGGTGGTTGCCAGGTGGTTAGGTCACCAACTTGGGACCCATAAGTCCCGGGTTCTAACCGCTCGAGCACCGCCCATTTTCCCAGGCAGCTTTTGTATGGCCGCGGCTCCCCGTCCTGAATGTTGACTGTACATTTGTACATTCGATAAACAAACAAAGGAAGTGAAAAGATGCACACAACTTTTGTCCTAAAATATTCAAAAGATGCATCATTGATCACGAACAGAACAATGAGAACCTAAACACATCAGGTTTCCGGTCTTCTGGGCTATTGCGTTCTGCTTTGAAGATATTTCATTTTCATGTGAGTACTAGAGGATTTCATTAAATTTCAAATAGGAATTCGTCGTGTATATGGCAAATGTAGTGTGAACTGAAAAGCTAGAAAGCACTGGACAGCTGTTTCGACTTGGTTGGGTCTGATCAGCAGTGCGAATCCATCAACCCAACTGAGGATCGAACTGGGGACTTCATGGGCAGAACGCAAGCATACTACCCACTACGCCACCGAGCAGCTAATCTTACTGTTTTTCATTTTCCACTTACACAACCCATCTTTGGGAGCTTGTTGCGGGCCACAGACCCTGCTCATCTCAGCACTGGTCTCTAGGGTTATGACTCGGTTGGAAAAGTTTTGATTAAATTAATCAAATCCCCAAGGTGGATTGACATTTTTGCTACCCTATTGGAAGGCAACTGACTTTACGGAGGTGATTCTCCAATGAGTGGAAGTGGGACTAATTTATCTCAGGTTACACTGACATAACACACAGCACACTGCTTTGAAACACTGATCGAATACTCCATGACGAGAATTTCATGGTTCACAGCATGACTCTCTTTCCCTCTCCGTTTGCTTTATATATTCCCTTTTCAGTGTAACTTCCTGTCATTTCATTCCTCCACCTTTTTTCTATCGATTACGCTTACGTGTCTATCAATTCAGGGTAGTTTTGCCAAAAGTTTCTTTACTCGTCAAACAGACACGGATAACTGTTGATTAAAATTCTATGCAACGCCTTTTTCAATTCTGAACCCATTTTCTTCTTCTGTCGAACTGTGTTAGTGTTTTTCTTACTGTTTACATTTGGACCGTCAGAATATATATGCACACCTTAAGGTAGGGAGGTAAAAAGAGAGAGTGTCTGTACCTGGTAACTGTCTATCGATAACCATACCGGTGACAAAATTAGCCTATGCAGTGATTTGTTACGAAAACCATGAATGTTTTAGTCGCACCACACGTGTACGATCTCACCAGTGGAAAACATGACAGTGACATCTTCATATTCAAAAAGAGATTCTGCTCCAAGCTTCTCCTAATCCTATACCGACCGTCTGTCCCAGTGTCTGAAATTTATTGATCGAAAAACATTGGACATGACCGCCTCTCGCATCGAACCAGTGGTAGTTGACGTGAAATAATTCCATATTGTTGACAATTAATTCCTTGTCGGACACCGAAGACTATTGTCGCAAACATAGATTAACATTTGTTTAAATAAAATTTGATGTGTACATAAATATCTGAAGACCAGTAACAAATCTAACGATTTCACATCGCCTTTGAGCAAATAATGACACACAGCATTGAAGATAATTAGACTGAAATTAATTTCAAATAATAAAATCCCATCTTGAGTGTTGACACATTTATTTTCAATATAATTCGTCTTCGTCATCCGTTTTCTATTCGTTTATGAGTGAGATCATTTAATTTTAAAAAATAATTTGAAGAGGCTCGATATTAGACTAGACTAAATATAAGAAAACTCATACTGAATAGGGCGATTACATTAAATTCTGCCTATTGAAACAGTGAAGACAGCGACCCACCATTGATTACACCGTAATTTTCATATTATTTGGTTTCTCTTATAGGCATCAGCGGTCGATGAAGAAGCGTTTCAATCTCTTGTGTTTTTTCCGCCTCCAGTATGGTAGCATATTTTTCCATGTAAATTTTCTTCTATGATTTATTCATATGCAACTCTTGTTCAGCGCATCGGACAATTTGATTTGTGCAAGTGGAAGTGCAAACGTACGTGATTTGTTTGTTTGTTGGCAATTTTTGTGCAACGCGTAGCTAAAAGGGTTACTTTTCCAGCTTCTAAAGAACCAAAGTTTCACATGGTGACCGCGGACATTTTTGCGAACTAACGACCGGCATACTTTAAACTTGAGGAAACGGTGCGATTTACTGGTAACTGAAAACTGGAGACCGTATCTAGACGGCAATGAACCTCGTTCAATGTTCCATAAAATTGGCCTTTTCCAGGCTGTTTGGCGTGTCATAAACGGATTTTCGCACTGTGACAGTGTGCACTGACGATTAGTAATAACAAAGTTGTTTTGAGATTTGCCACGAAACTTGTGAACGCTTGCTTTCAAATCAGAAGTATTAAACTGTTGAGTTCAAGAGCGGTTTCTTACTCTCTCTGATGTTCCTTGCTCATTCCTCCAATGATGTAGCTTGTCAAGAGCCTAATCAATGTTCAGATTGTCTTCAGATTTTGTGAAAATGTCACGGTGAAGGGGTTTTCAAAGATCCAAAATCTGACACTCAAGAAATGCATTGACTTGTGACTGAGGAAAAAGGGAGCTGCGAAAGTCACTAAGATGCTTTCAATAAATGAGGCTCACGGTTTGTGTAAAATCGCCACTATAAAAGGAAGCGCTACAGAAAATGGACTGTTGCTGGTGTGCCCCAAATGTATGTGATTGAAGAAATCTCTGCCCGGGGAAAAGTGTGCGACCACTGCAAGATACGCCATGATTTTGTGATTTAGTGTTTCGTAAAGGCCAATCGGCTTCGAAATTCCACATCAAAGCAGGTGGCCGCGTGAACAAAGCACAACTACCAACTAAGAGGGAATGCGTGTTTATTAGGATGTTGGTGAATGGAAAAATTAGCATCCTAGCTTGATTCTGTTACGGCTATCAACGATTCTAAGGTGTGAAATATTTCAGAAGCAATGCCCATAAGCGGTAGATAAGGTACCTGGTACAGATGTGTAGCAGATCGTCTCCCCATTTTCGATAAAGGAACAGAAATACACAACCAACTATTCGAAAGCTTTTTGAAACACTGTGTCCGGAACATAATTTAATTAAAACAAGACAAGCTTGTTAGATTTTGTTGCCATATGATCCCGAGCGAAGAAATTAAACCGAAGATAGAAAAAGGTAATATCCATTGTATAAATGTCCCAATCAATGTGCAAGGTATTCGAGGATTCGAAGCAGCCATCAACCATCTGAGCATGTTTCTACCTGAAAGAGAGAAATTATCTCAGCCAGTTTGACAAATGGGTCATAAAGGGGAGCCGTGGATCTAAAACGTGACTTTCGGTCACATTCAGACACCCAGTACTGACAAACGTCCACCCAAATTTATCGATGAGTGCAAATAAGAGTACACTCAGATTAATAAATAAATGGATAAATGTTTTATAGGCATTACAGCAGTTCACTGACTATATATACATTTGATCTATTTCGCCTGTACAAAACAGGCCCATGGAACAACTGACGTAAACACAAATTGGTAAAAGGGTTCCTATTTCAGTGATTCATAAGCATGCAAACACGACACGACTCATATATAACTATTGTCGCGATAGGATTGACGAGCAGAACGGGAAAGTGATTGCAATGTTCAACATTTTCAGTTATGGTTGGCCCTCACTTTGAAGTGGTTTCTATTAGGAGCCCATTATTATTTGTTTGGATGTTTCATGACGAGTCATCTGTCGTCAATCCGGCCACGGGAGCTGGAGTGCTTCCATACATTTCTTAAGAGAACACCACGGGGGAGGGCTTATGGAGGCTAGATGTACACAGCCTTTTTTCTGAGCCATAATCCTTTTTGGAAACGCCCCGCGTCCTCCAGGAATTCCTCCTGGGTGAAAATATCCGGCTCGTTTCCGATAGTTTCAATCAGTATGCCCTCCGTACAAGTCCTTCTAACTCTGTCGGCCAGAGTATTTTTTTATACTGAGTGGTGCAAAGCTACGGAAGTGAATATACCGCCCGTTCTACTTCACGTTCCTGTGTACTGATCGTCAGATCGATCCGTGATTATAAGAAAAGTTACACAAACATCTAAATATGGTACCTCTAAATTTGATTCATTTTAGATTGGGAATTTTAATCTCCAAATGGAGTATTGAAATCATTTGGCAGATATTTGAAGTTGGATGTGTAATCGTCCATGTAGCGTTTGTACAAAACGCATTTTTAGTGTGCTTTACAAAAGATGTTTGTGCAAGCACTCCAGCTCCCGTGGCCAGACTGACGTAATGTGACCCGTGATGAAAGATCCAAACAAACAATAATAGACTCGTAATGGAAACCACTTCAGAGTGAGAACCGATCATAACTGAAACCGTTGAACATTTCAATTACTTTCTTGTTTTTCTCATCAATCCTGTCGTGAAAATAATCATGCATGTGTTGTGTCGTTTTGGCATGCTTATGAATCACTGAAAGAGAAGCTAGATTACCAACGTGTGTTCACATTTGGTCTACTGATGCATATCTACTGCGATCGTCAATCGCTGATCATGATTAGGGATAACCCGCTTCTTGATCGAGTACCAAGGATACTTAAATTGTGAGGTACAGTAGTGCACTATAGTACGAATAGGGTGAACGC